CTTCCAGTGCTTTGGATTCGAAAGCGCTGCACATTATCAAAGTGTTTTTAGCACTCAAACAGCACCCATGTTTCTCAAACTTGAATTTTCGCATAGTATTATCTGGATTAAGTTACATTAGTATTGTGCGGGGAGTGCCCGAATTCGGGGTTGGGCTGTATTTTTATACTTGTATAGTGTAATTTCAGTTGTATACTGCATAACGTTTGCCTTTAATATAATCATTATGAGAGGTGAACGTTACGGAGTATACAACTGATGATCAACCTATGCTTTTCTCCGATCACCTATTAACAATGAGTTGTGAGAATGATATCGGAACTGGTCGACTTCGTTGCCCATCTGTAGTCACCTCGGACGTCTGTTCTTCTTCTTTTTAGTATCACTATTGACAAGGTTTGTGTAACTGCCGATGCAAGAAGGTTTGCAGTTAAGTTGGGAGCGGTAAAATATCAGCAGTTTCGCTCATTTGCAAGTGAATATGTCCACTTGCCTCTGAACAACAGCATTTTACATGGACTTTTTGACATAACATCTCACTACCTTCTCACAGACCACGTCTGAACGTCCAGATCTTTCCCCAGTCTCTAACCTCCGCACGTTCATCCGTCCATATTCATCCATATTTAGGCTTGATCCCGTTCTCCATTCTCAGGATGTCATTTATGTATGACCCCTTAAAAATACTTCAATGTGGACGCATTCTGGTTCATCGGTTGATCACATCGGTTCGATTCAAACAATCAACACTGATCGTTGTGTTTGACTGAATGCACAAGACTGCCGTAAATTAGCATTCTTTATTCCAATTTTTCGATGTTTCACATAACTTTACGAAGTACTTTTCTAATTGCTTCGGTAGTCATGAACCTTCAGTCTAACGAGTTCGTGTGCAGTGTTTCCTCTAATTTTCTTGACGATATGTGGAGAAAGAAGGCTCGTGATGAAATGACCAAGCCCAAGGATAATTCCAAGCTGCAATGCGATAGGGTGATTGTTGGTGTGCATGCAGTGGAATGTCATCGAAGCACATATTGTGCTGTTAGTTTCGAAATGCGACGCACGAAGTGTTCTATAACGCAGTCGCTTCTTTATGTCGTCATACATTATTCTAGCATCGCTCGTAAGTTTTGTCAGCGTTTAGAATCGTGTTTGTGTCGTAAACATCACGGATTTAGTTTATTTGATAGTTTATGAGTGTTTTCCTTTGCTGAATTCATCTCGAGTAACGAATGTTATGTTGAGAGGATTACCTTCTCATTGGAATGGTCATTTACCAGCATGTGAGCTGCGTTCGGTTCAAACTCTCACTTCAGTCGATTCTTTTAATTCATTGAACGTCTCGTGTATGAATGGTTCCGTTGTGTGAACAACGCATGCCGTTAATTTTTATGATCAAAATGCAGTGTTTTTCTCATTACGGACACCACTGAGTTTTAAAATTTATAGGTTATCAAAATGAGTTAATGAAGCAGTAGTCAAGCTTTGAAATGAATCGTTTCAGTTGAAGCATACAGTTAGTTGATCCGTAATTTGTCACCATTAGAATTCATTTAATCTGACCACAAGACGTTTGGTTGATCTGGATATCAATTTTACATTGTTGCATGCTCAAGTTTATGGATTTTCATCCGTGTATTGTTGTATTTTATACTGCGAAAGAGTGCCGTTTTTCAAGAATGTTCAACACTCCTTTTGCCTTTGTTTTTGAAGTGTGTATATATTTGAAGGACGACCATCGTGAGTAAAGTAAACATCACCACAAGGCGCATCGAAACAGAAGGAAATGTCCGGTGGAACAGCAATGGACACTATGTCATCTGTGCCACATATGAATGAAGATAACGCTATACGTTATCTCACTAATTTCGGTAAACTTTCTTCTCATTAAAATCGTTCGAGGTGATAAGTTATTCGAGCGAATCTTTTAATACAGCGTGGAAACACATGATTACCTGTTAATCATGGCGTTAGAAAAACAAATTGTTTTTTTTTTTGAGTATTTCAGTGATGATTGTTATTTGTGTGTATTATGAATATTTCAGTGTATTGGTCTGAAATTATTGTTTAATTGTAACCATGTAGCTGACGTGTCTATGAAATGGCCCAGGCTACACACAAACCTTGAGCTGCGATGAATCCTGCATTTTGTTCAGGCTCACCATGGGGTCTAGTGTAACACTTGCACTGCAACTGAAGTTCACAAGAGGCTTAAATTGAAGCTATAGTCACATCTGAACCCTTTCGTAAAACTTGATACCGTCTGGCTATGTGCGTTGCCAACGGATTGGCTGATTCGTGGCACGGCTGTAACACTCCTTAGTTTCATGATGGATCGTGCGCATGATTTAGTTGATTCAAGTGGTATGGGTTGTGGAGAATTATAATGTTTTCATTAATCATCTTGTTTCAGTGAAATCACCAGTGCAAAATGAAGCTGATATAAAGAAAAAAGAAGAGTCAATAATGGAATTAGGTAATATGTTGGCAAAGAATAAGCAGACACATGAACTGCGTAATATGATCGAAAACACTCGTCCTTTTCTCGTTTCACTTGGAAAAGCGAAAGCGGCAAAGTTGGTTCGTAATCTCGTCGATCTTTGCCTGATGATTGATGATCAGGATGGCGATATCAAGGTTATATTAGTTCTGTTCCTTTTCTGCTTTTGTTGCGGATAATTTCGTCTTTTCAGTGAAATATTTAACTCTGCATGTTCAGAAAGCCTTACAAATTCCCACCAGATCAGAATCAAGCTTAGCTTGAGAGCTCATAATTGAGAAAAAACCGTTCACGTAGTAGCTATGCTTCAGGTGGATCTTTGCAAGGAGTGCATCCAGTGGGCTACCGAACAGAATCGTACTTTTCTTCGACAGACTTTACAAGCAAGACTTGTTCGTCTCTATAATGATCTGCGTAGATATCAGCAAGCACAACATCTTGGTTTGTTCATAAATTCAAAACGGTTACATAATCATGACGATTTGAATCGTCAACTTTCACAAAGTTTTTATTATCCTTACAAATTGTTTCATTTATGTTTCAACATTTCATTTTACTTACGAT